GGTTCCACGATGTCACGCGAGGCCACGACGAGAAATGGACCACCGTGGCAGACTATTATATCTCTGCCTTCGGCTCTTCCTAAAGGGATATCCCATGGGGTTCCTATGCGGATCCCTATGGGGATCCACCCCCAGACTTTTGGGGCCTCCCGGGGATCTACTTGACTTATGAAACCTCCGATATTTGAATTCATATTGGCTTCTGCGGCAGAAAGAGCCGAATCGTGCGTTTGATATTGTCAAATGCTATTGTTTTGCCGATGCTTGAAGAACGAAGAGCCCGCCAATGTTTCTGGGAACGGATAGCAGCAGGAAGTCGACAGAAACAATCTACTACGCCTATCAAACTCGTGTTCACAAGAGCCACGTTTGACCTCGGCGGCAGGAAGTGCCGAGTCGTTTGTTTGATACATTCAAAGGCTATTTTTGCCATTGCTTGAAGAACGAAGAGCCCGCCAATGTCTCTCATAACGGAGAGCAACAGGAAATCGACAGAAAAATCTATTACACCTGTCAAACTCGTGCTCACAAGAGCCACGTTTGACCTCTGCGGCAGGAAGAGCCGAGTCGTGTGTTTGATATTCAAAGGCTACGGCCTTGCCATTGCTTGCGCCGTCGTCAGATGGCGCCGCCAGGCTAAGGCGGGCAGGCGCGCCGCGGTTGCCGTCGTCAGATGGCAGCCGCCAGTGCGCCGCGGTCGCCTTTGTCGGATGGCTCTTGTCGCTCCTTGCTAGAACCCCTGCGGGGGCCAGGGGGCGAGGCCAGCCTCGCGTCGCTCGCGGCAAGTGATGGCCAGCGCCGCGACGCCGCGCTCTCGCTACCAGGAGCGCCTGCTGAGAGCTTGGCATGCGGACGTGATGGCATCGCTGCTGTTGCGTTCTCGACAAGCAAAGGGGTCTTTACGTGCACGTGCCGGGACTCAGACACCGAGCACACCGTGGATTACTATTCAGTTATGTGGATGCCCGCTGCCAAGAGGGCCCGGCTGGTGAGCACGCTGCCCGCCGCGCCAAAGCAGGGGGCTCCTCAGCAACGGTCTTGCGGACATCGCGAGGCCCCGAAGAAGACCTTGCACCCAGTCATGCACGAACTCGTCCAAGCGCAGACTGAAGCACCTCTGCAGAAGGCCGCAGCGAAGGCAAATAACGAGGAGATTGCGATGCAGAAAAGTTCAGATGCAGAAGCAGGCCGACAGAGCTGACCGAGCCCGAGCCCGAGCCCGAGCCGAAGCCCGAGCCCCAGCCCGAGCGCGAGCCCGAGCGCGAGCCGGAGCCCGAGCTCCAGCCGAAGCCCGAGCCCGAGCTCGAGCCCGAGCCGAAGCCCGAGCCCGAGCCCGAGCCCGAGCGCGAGCCCGAGCCCGAGCGCGAGTCCGAGCCCGAGCCGGACCCCGGGCCTCAGACCAAGCCCAAGCCCGACTCCGAGCGAGAGCCCGAGCTCGAGTCTGAGCCCGAGCCCGACCCCTTCCCCGACCCCGAGCGCGAGCCCGAGCCCGAGCGCGAGCCCGAGCGCGAGCCCGAGCCCGAGCGTGAGGCCGAGCCCGAGCCGAGCCCGAGCCCGAGGCAAAGCTGGAGCACTATTCCGAGTGCGAGCTGGAGCCTGGGCGCAAGCCCAAGCGCGAGCCGAAGTCAGAACCTGAGCTGGAGCCCGAGGCCCGAGCCGAAGCCCGAGCCCGAGCCCGAGCCGAAGCCCGATAAAGCACGAGCCGGAGCCCGAGTCAAGCGCGAGCCGCGTTTCGAGTCCGAGCCCGAGCCCTGAGCCCGAGCCCGAGCGCGAGCCGAAGCGCGAGGCCGAGCCGGAGCGCTAATCCAAGCCCGAGCAGAGCCCAAAGTCGAAGCTCGAGCGTGAGCTCGAGCCGAAGCCCAAGCACGAGCCGAAGCATTTCTCTGAATATGAATTTGGAAACTTTTCAAAAATTATTTCTGAAAAGGTGTCCAGACCAAAAATGAATCATATAACCGTTTTGCATCTCTAATTGTGAGAAAAAATACTTGTGGAATCTTCCGGAGTTTGATTTATACATTTCGAGGTTGGAAAAGGAGAAAAACACAACGACGTATATATCGCTACGGTTTGTCAACGATACAAATTTAAAACCCACGTTGTCCGTGTCAGTGCGCGTCGGGATCGCTCCGCGAAGCCCTCTTGGCGCGCGAGCCTGCGAAGGGCCAGAATTCAGATTAGATGTTTGAGTGTGTGTCGGGATCCTCGCTCCTCATGCGGTGCGAGAATGCGAAATGAGAGCATCATTTGAGTTCGTGCTTACGGTTTCTGTTTCATTTGCGCTCTGCGAGTTGTGCGATGCGAGAGCGCAAGATGAGAGCATCATTTGAGCTAGTGTTTACGGTTTCTGTTTTCATCTGCGCTCTGCGAGTCGTGCCGTACGAGAAGGTAAAATCAGAAGATCATTCGAGTTAGCGCTTGCAGTTTTGGTTTTCATTTGCATTCAGTGAGCCTTGTGCGGTACCAGGATACGAAATGAGTATATCATTTGAATTTGCGTTTACGGTTTCTGTTTTTATTTGCGCTGTGCGAGCCGTGCAGTGCGAGAACGCAAAATGAGAGCATCATTTGAGCTGGTGTTTACGGTTTCTGTTTTCATCTGCGCCCTGCAATTCGCGCCGTACGAGAAGGTAAAATCAGAAGATCATTCGAGTTAGCGCTTGCAGTTTTGGTTTTCATTTGCATTCAGTGAGCCGTGTGCGGTGCCAGAACACGAAATGAGAGTATCATTTGAATGTGTGTTTACGGTTCCTGTTTTTATTTGCGCTCTGCGAGTCGCGCGGTGCGAGAACGCAAAATGAGAGCATCATTTGAGCTAGTGTGCGCGGCTTCTGTTTTCACTCGCGCTCTGCAAGTCACGCCGTACGAGAACGTAAAATCAGAAAATGATTCGAGTTAGCGCTTGCAGTTTTGGTTTTCATTTGCATTCAGTGAGCCGTGTGCGGTGCCGGAATACGAAATGAGAGTGCCATTTGAATTTGTGTTTACGGTTGCTGTTTTTATTTGCGTTGTGCGAGCCGTGCGGTGCGAGAACGTAGCATGATAACCTCATTTGTTTACGGTTTCTGTTTTCATCTGCGCTCTGCAAGTCGTGCCGCGCGAGAACGTAAAATCAGAAGATCATTCGAGTTAGCGCTTGCAGTTTTGGTTTTCATTTGCATTCAGTGAGCCGTGTGCGGTACCAGAATACGGAATGAGAGTATCATTTGAATTTGTGTTTACGGTTTCTGTTTTTATTTGCGTTGTGCGAGCCGTGCGGCACGAGAACGTAAAATGAGAACATCATTTGATCTAGACCTTCGGTTTCTGTTTTCATTTGCGCTCTGCCAGCCGTGCCGTGCGAGAACGCAAAATGAGAGCATAGTTTGAGTCAGTTGTGTTTCTATTTGCGCTGTGCGAGCCGTGCAGTGCGAGAGTGCGAAATAAAAACATCATTTGAGATCGTGCTTGCGATTTCTGTTTTCATGTGCGCTCTGCGAGCCGTGCGGTGCGATAAGGCAAACTGAGAGCATCATTTGAGCAAGTGTGTACGGTTTCTTTTATAAGTTGTGTTTCTTTTTCTGAGCCTTAGCATTTTTAAACTTACGTTTAGGACATTTCGGGCTGTTTTACTGATCATTTTGGTATTAGGCACTTTTTCAAAAATAATATTTGCAAAATTTCCGAATAGATTTTCTTCGAACTTACGGCGTTTTGCCTGGCAAAGGGCATCGTCTCCAGGGGTCTGTATCGGGTTCGGGCTCGGGCTCAGGTTCGGGCTCCGGCTCCGGCTCGGGCTCGGGCTCGGACTCGGGTTCGCGCTCGGGCTCGAGCTCCGACTTGGGCCTGAGTTTGGGGTCGGGCTTGGGTTCGGGCTCGGGCTCGGGCTCGGGCTCGGGCTCGGGGTCGGGCTCGGGCTCGGACGCGGGGTCGGGGTCGGGCTCGGGCCCGGGCTCGGGCTCGGGCTCGGGCTCGGGCTCGAGCTCGGGCTCGGGTTCGGGCTCGGGTTCGGGCTCGGGCTCGGGTCGGGCGTGAGTGGCGTGAGTGGCGTGAGTGGCGTAATCATTCGTGTATTACATGCGTAAGGTCAATACGTTTGCAATATTTTTCAAATATGTTATTTTGTTTGCGTCGTATACTACACATAGTGTGTGCAGAGTCGGTCGTCGTCGTTTTTTCAGTGCCACCTTTCATTTGTGCAATGTCTCGCCGCCAGTTTTTTTGTACCACCTACTTTGTGTCTGGAGCGTAGGCCGCCAGATGTTTGGACCCCCCTGCGTAGTGTTTTATGATTTTTCGTCGCCGCCGTGGGAATTCCCGTGAATAGCTTTCCTAGAGTGTCGACTTGGTGATGAGGCTGGTGCAGGCCGGCGGGGCCCGCCGGGGCGCGAAGCCCCCGTGCGCGGCGCGGCCGTGGGGCCGCGGTGGCCGCCCCTTGCCACGGGGCGGCGCCGGGGTGCGGAGATGTTCGCGCACCGCGCGGCAGGGAAGGCGAAGCTACGGCTGTCCAGTGGCTGCATGCGTGTTCCAGTCGTGGCAGATGCGTGTTGGCTGTTGAGCCGTGGAGGCTAGTCGGTACGGGCCCCCTTGGGGTCCTCATGAGCCCACGGCGTCGTGACCACCAGCTTGCCTATCGCCCAGCGCGCGCACGGCTGTGCCAGCGGACATCCGAGAGAAGGAGCGGAGTTGCGGTCAGAAAGAGTCTTGCTTCACGTGTCGTTCCGCTGGTTCTGGCTCACCACGGTTCGGCGCGGCACGCTGGCCACGTTCCCATTTCCGAGCGTCAGCGTCCCGAGGTCTCCCCAGCATCCCGCCCCGCGGAGCGGAGCGGCGCGCTCAGCTCGCAGGGCACAGCTTGTCGCCGGGGCCGCCGCCGCGACACGCCAAGCAAAGCTCCCGACCGTACGCAAGGTGACTTAGGCATGAATGCCTTGTGCAGTTTGACGGCGAGCCTTCTTCCTCGTCCATTCTCATTCGTCCGCTTTTCCTCGTACTCCTCCTCACCGCAACCATCCTGGCTCAAAACCTTCGGCAGTTCCAACACACCATTCATCCTTACGATTGGATATATTGCAACCAGTAGAAAAAAGGTCTACCCTTATCCTCCTCTCCTCTGCGAAGCGGGATGTCCACGATCTCCGCAAGCGCTTCCATTTTCTTCATCCTGAGTGCCCTGCCATCGACAGCCTTTGGCGGCGTGGACTTCCTTCAGGCCCCTGACCCTGTGAGCCGCCTGGAGGACCGCTTACGCTCCACCTACTTGGCGTTGCCACGAGACGGCGAGGGCCTGCCAGACTCGAGCGGAGTTCGCTACCTGGCCAGGCGCTACCTCGAGGTCGAGCACGGCTGGACCGTGAAGGGCCTCGACATGGTGCCATGGCTCCGCGACGGCCGCAACGCCAGCCAGTCGGCGGGGCTGCGCGCCTCTGAGCTGCTTGCTGGTGGTGGCGAACTTCCAACGTCAGGCCCTCTGCTCGTAGTCCTGTCCCCGGAGCCGAGGCGGGGATTCACTCTGCGCGAGGCGGCTGAGGTCGTCCTTGCCCTCGAGGAGTTTGTGGCCAGCCACGATGCCGCCCTCATTGGTCGGGCCATCGCGCTGTCGAAGATGCCGGGCTTTTTCCGAGACGGGGCGAGGACGCTCTCCGACGGTGAGGTGGCTCTGTGGTTCTACGCCATGCTGCTCCACACGAGCGACGCAGACGTACTGAGAGGACAACTCGAGCCAGCGATTGTACTCCGAGTCATGCAGGAGCTCAACCAACGGAGCTTGGGCCTCGCCGCGGACGCGGGGGTGCCGCTGCGGTTTATCGTGGCCGAGGCGGCCCAGAAGGCCATCGACAAGCAAGCCGATGCGGAATTGCAGCATCCGGGTGCGTCCATGACCGCCACAGGAATGCGCCACATCCGGAAAAGGCTGCATGAGCGCCACACGCGGGGCTGGTGCCAGCGGCTGCGGGGCGTGCTGTCCTCTATGGACCACAAGGGGTCTGGGCAGGTGGAGTTCCGGCATGTCTTCGCGACCACGGTGAACAATTGGCGCTTCACTGAGACTCCAGAGTACCTGAGCGCAGTTGGCGCGCTCGCCGAGAAGAGGGTCAAAGGGGGCAGCCCAGGCGTGCTCATTCCGAACTACGTGTCTGGCATGAACAGCTGCGAATCTCCGACCGAGCACCCAGCGATGTCCTGTTGCCCAGATGAGTGCGAGGCTGACATCATGCCACGCCTAGAGGCCGCTGCAGCAGGGCCCCGCATCGCACCGAAGAAGGTTTGGGCGGCGCTGTCCCACCTGATCAAAAGAGACAAGTTGGCCACGGCCGAAAAGCGCAAGGAGCTGCGCTCTCGGCTGCGCGCCCTGGGGCTCAGGTCCGGGGACGGCCTTGTCGAGGTTCACGGGCGGCAGCTTGGCCGCTGGTTGCACCGCGCGTTCCCGCACAAGTGCCGCGGGCCCGCTGCCCGCGGCTCCCCAGCCCTGGTGGACCCGACTCTGTCGCGCCAAGCTTGGGTTAACGATGGCAAATTTCAGCCCACGGCAGCAGAAGACATCGAGGTGATCCGCGCACACCTGCAGGCCCGCTGGGGTCCAGACGGTACGGGCGCGGACCCGCATTGCTTTGCGGCGAGGAGCACGATGAGTTTAGACGAGGAGCTGCAGCTAGTCCACAAGCTCAACGATCAGCAGAAAAGCGGCGGGCCGCCTGTGCAGCAGGCACTAGAAAACGCCCTCAACGTCCGTGTTCTCGACAGCTCGTCCCATGCGGAGCACATATTGGCCACCATTCTGGCAATAGCACTGCTGGGGCCCTTGGCAGCGGCGGTCGCCCTGATGGGCGGGGACACCGTCAAGGTCTGCTCCTTCCTGGCGGCTGCCGCGGCCCTAGCAGGGCGGCTCAGCTCCGCTCGGCCGGTGGCACCGCGTGCGCAGGAGTGCCGCGAGCGCGGCGTGGGTGTGGCCCTCGGCCGCGAAGGCCCTTGCTGGGCCTGCGAGGCAGGCCCCGCGGTGACCGAGAAGGACGAGTCCACGGACTCGGGAGACACGGAGTCGGTTTCTCCCGCGTCTGAGTACTCGGAGGCCGCTAGGGAGCTGTGCGCAGAGGACTCAGACTCGGAGCGCGAGACCGTCAAGGCTTCCGCGGAGGCGGACCGCGGCTGCGTCGACGCCAGCGATGCGTTCCCGATCCAGACGGAGGTGTCCCCAGACGTGGCGACCAAGGCCGACAAGGAGGAGGCAGATCCTCAGGAAGCACCTGCAGCAGGTGAGGTAATGCCGCTAGCAGAGGCGGCTGGTGCCAGGCAGCTTCCGAGGCAGGCGACGTTCCCGAAGGGCTTCTGGCCTCCCCCAGGGCTGGAGCCGCCGCCGGGGCTGCAGCTTATATTCGAGGCCGTCGGGCTCGAGCCCGACCTTCATCGTCCGCACCAGGAGCAGAGTCCCCCCAGCGTGGAGCTCACCGTGCATGAGCGAACGAGCGTCGAGGAACACAGCCCCGCTCCGCCTCATGAGTGTAATGTACCGCACCCGCATCGCCTCACGCAGCAGGCCTAACCCGCCGCATTAGCGCGGCGTGCCGCCACTTCAGGTAGGGCAGATGCTCCTCCTCGATCCTAGAACTGCTGTGCTCATCTCGCTCGAGCATCCAAATGTGACCTTAACACCGAATTCAGCAAGCACTGCATGCCGTCAGATCGCTTCGAGCTGACTCGCGCTTCCAGCCTCTTCCTGTCGCTGGTGAATGCCAGGACTGAGTCGAGGTTCCCGTGAACCAAGTAGTGTAGAGCATTGCTTGCAGCGGCGAGGGGCAGATGCGCCTGCATGTCTTGGCACCCTCTGGCACACTGCCCCACGGCGAGTGAAGGACGGGCACTCTGCAAGCACATGTTGGCGACTTGCGTGTCTTCCTGCCCATACTCCGACATAAAGTGCCGTCGCCAGCTCTCGACCCCCCCACCTCATCACGGCTGGGGCGAGGAGAAGCGACCAGACAGAGGGCCCTCGTGGCGGCCGCCAATCCAGCCCTCCGCCCCTCCACGGTGCAGTCCAGTCTTCTACGGGGTGCACGGGCGCGCCGCCGAGATAGAGTCAAGACGCTGAAACAAAGAGCGGCTTGGGTTCGGGAGGGGCTTGCTGTTCTTCAGGTCGTCCCGTGCACCCAGACGCTTTTGGTGCCAACGAGGAGCTTCTGACCTTGTCTGGCGTTCCTTATTGCAGCAGGCTGATTGTGCAGGTCAGCGTCAGCGTACCCAAGTTTTCTGGAGTCGGCCATGCACGGCAGGTTCGCGCCGCGTCGACGCGGCGGCGGCGCCCGTGCGGGCGCAAAGGGTTGAAGACCTCCGGAAGCTTGAGCCGGGCCATCCGTGGAAGATCTCCGCGGTCGGTTGGCGAAGATCCGCTCAAGAGTGAGGGGTCGAGAGGTCCGCCCTGCGTCGGAGAGCCACGCCCACGTCGTCACGGCAGGAGCCAGCCGCAGACCCACAGAAGGCATCGACACACCGCACCACCACCACCGTGCGAGCCAAGGCCGTCATGAGCCTTAGATTGGTGTACTGATCCTGCCGGCCTCGGCCAGAGGGGTGCGTGCACCACGTCAGGGCCGAGGATGGCCTTAGGCAGGCACAGGAGTTGGTGAATCAGCGCCTTGCGCCGCACGCTGATCCAACACCGCCCCTCCGCATGCCTCCCCGATTGCTCGTCCACGCGTAGAGGGGGGTTGGGAAGCCCTCCCTCCCCCCTGCCCCACTGTGCGCGCCGCCAAATGGGCACGGACCGATCTGCCTCGAAAGATGCCGCGTCGGGCTGGGGTCGAGAGATCTCGCTGCGCTCCTGCTGCACGCCATATCGTGGAGCCGGATGCCTGGGCCTATTGGCTCTGGAGGTGCCTGGGCTCTTCTTCGGAGGGAGGGAGCCTACATCCTCGATCGACCCTCGACCCCCTTGTGCGCGCCCCCCCGAAGGAGGAGTGGCCGCTCGGGCCCCGCGCGCGCGCGCGCCCGCTCAGCCGCCGTGGCTCCGCGCCAAGCGCGCCCACGCGTGCGCGCGCGCGGCGGCCCCGAGCCCCTCCTGGGGGCCTCGGAAGGGCTCCACGCCGGCGCCCTGGGCGCGCGCGTCGCCGCGGCGGCCATGCCGCCCGCCGGGCCGCAGTCGGTGCGGTTCTCCGCGGACATCTGCGGACCCGCGGGGGGGCGGCTGGCGCCGGCCGGCTGCTGTTCACGCAGAACATGGCAAGCAGTAACATCCAGACATAGATGTGTACACGTGTGCAGCAAAAGTATACATGTAGGTACAATGTTGTGTATACGTATACACATATAAGCATATATATAGATATACATACATGCGTTTGTACAGTAGTATGTATGTATGTATGGTATATGCATGTGCATATATATATATATGAGTGAACATGTATTTGTATATACACGTATGTATGTGCATCTCGAGTGTCGAAGAGCTTCGAAGCATTGGCCAATGATAGTGTTGTGCGTGCACAGCTTCTGTTTTCTCGGGGCGGCCCGAGGCCACATACCCAATGAATTGTTGGTGTATTGATTGCGGATTTGAAATCGTGCGCTCCTTTTTAGGTTCATGGCTTCGCGAGTGCACTGAAATCCTGACCACTCCCCTTCTCCGGCACTCTGCCGCTTCCTCCTTCCTGCCGCTCCCTAGTGAAACAAAGAGTGGCGCCTCCTGGGGATCTCTCGGTGGTCTTCCTACAGCTCTCTTAGGGGCCCATGGGGCCGTTCTGAGGCCCAGGGCTAGACCTAAACGCCGTTTTGCTGGACTTTGGCCTTGATTTGTTCCAGGAAAAGGCGCGGGCCCAGGATTCTCTTTTAGTTGGTTTACCCCCGGTTTCGACGGCTAGGTCGCGTAGGGCCGGCGGAATTATATTTGAGGATGTCTCGAGCGAAACGCTTGTTTTTCAGAATTGCTGGAGGATGTCTCGAGCGAAACGCTTGTTTTGTGTTATAGATTGTCCTCTCCTGGGGACCAGAATTCAGAGGATCTCTCAAGTGAAATTCTTTGTTTTCACGTGCCCAGGTCTTGAGGATGTCTCGAGCGAGACGCTTGGTTTCACGCCTCCACGTTGCGCAGGCAGAGGTCTAGCGCCAGGAGTTGTTGAGGATGCCTCGAGTGAGACGCTTGTTTTCACGCGTCCTCGTCGCCCAGGCGGATGTATAGCATGAGGATGTGTTGAGGAAGTCTCGATCGAGACACTTCTTTGCACGTGTCCAGGTTGCTCAGGCGTCTAGAATGAGGATGTGTCGAGAATGTCTTGAGCGAAACACATGTTTCCACGTGTCCAGGTCGCCCAGGCGGATGTCTTGCATGAAGATGTGTTGAGGATGTCTCGAGCGAGACGTTTGCTTTCACGTGTCCAGGTTGCCCAGGCGGATGTCTAGTATGAGGAGGTGTTGAGAACGTCTCGGGCGAAACGCTTGTTTTCACGTGCCCAGGTGACCCAGGCGGACGTCTAACATGAAGAGATGTTGAGGATGTCTCGAGCGAACCACTTGTTTTCGCATGTCCAGGTCGCCCAGGCGAATGTCTTGCATAAGGATCTGTTGAGGATGTGTTGAGCGAAACGCTTGTTTTCACGTGTCCAGGTCGTCCAGGCGGATGTCTAGCATGCGGATTTAGGCAGGATGTCTCGAGCCAAACGCTTGTCCCCAGCACGTTCCGTAACGCGTCCCCTTGGCACGTTCCGCTGTGCGCCCCCATGGCACGTCCCCTGGCACGTCGCCTGGCGCGTCCCTTGGGACGTTCCGCCGCGCGGCCTCCTGGCATGCCCCCCAGTCCATTAGCTCTGGGACAGCTACTATGTGCTCAGGCAGCTTGAGCTTAAGATCCAGATCAGTTCGGTCAGGACTCGGATGCAAAGGAGGACTCGATCTACATCGCTATATAGAGCACAATCGCGGCATGGCACATCGCACGCAATTCAGCACGGCGCAGCACAGCACAGCCCTCGGCACGGTACATCAAGATCGATGCTTTCAGCATTGCAATTTGGCACGTTCCTTGGCACGCTCCGTGGCGCGTCCCGTGGCGAGTCCCCTTGGCACGTCGCGCGGCGTGTCCCCTGGCACGTCCCGTGGCACGTCCATCGGCACGTTCCGCAGCGCGTCCCCTTGGCACGTCCCGCGGTGCGTCCCCATGGCACGTCCCCTGGCACGGCGCCTGGCGCTTTCCCTTGGGACGTTCCGCGGCGCGGCCTCCTGGCATGTCCCCCAGTCCATTAGCTCTGGGGCAGCGACTATGCAGCTTGAGCTTAAGATCCAGATCAGTTCGGTCAGGACTCGGATGCAAAGGAGGACTCGATCCACAACGCTGTACAGCACAATCGCGGCATGGCACATCGCAATTCAGCACGGCGCAGCACAGCACAGCCCTCGTCACGGTACATCAAGATCGAGACACTCAGCATTGCAATTTGGCCCGTCGCCAAATCTGATGTCTTTGAACATGTTGCCATGCCTACATTTCTATTTTCCTTTCCGGGTACGTGGGTCGATCCTGTGCAGGAAAGCAGGTAGTAGAGCAAAACGAAAAACAAAACGAAAACGAAACGAAAACCAATGTTTAGGCCTAGCCCTGCTGAGGCCATCTTGGGCCGGTTGGGAGCTCTCCGAGGCCCCTCACGTTACCCTCACACGCCGCTCTTCACGCCGCTCGGCAAGGTGCTAGTGCTAGTCGTAGTGATTGGTGCTACGGTACGGGCCACGGTGGTGTGTGTTCCTACTCTAGCCTACGGCGTCCATTGTAACACTGGCACCCCCCAAGAAGGGAGGGAAAGTTAGTTTCGGAACCGGGGGGGGGGCGTTTGATTTCACCGTGATGCTTAAGCGTGAATCGGGCTGGACTGAAGTGGGCGTGTCGGGGCTGATGCCTTTCTCGCTCACATGCGTCCTGGGCACAACACGTGGCTACGTTTGGCTGCGAGAATGCTCGCAGATGGCGACCGCGCCAAAGTCCAGCGAAGCTGGACACTTTGATCTTATAATATTGTTCCAAAACAACGTATGCAACAAGATATGGTGTTGCGGAAATTATGGACGTTCTTCTTGGGCCCTCATCATGGGTAAGCAAAACATCGCGTGGCCGCGGTTCTATTTATCAGGATTGGTGAGGGGACTTGGGACGGGAGGGTCATTGCAGCATCGTTGACACATCTTGAAGGTATTCCAGGTCTCCTCCCCCTCCCCTTGCTCCTCTTCCTCCTCCCCGGCGAGCACGGAAGCGCGTACGGGGGGAGGAAGGTTTTGAGGAGTTGGACGAAGAGGGAGGAGGAGGAGCAGGAGGAGAAGGAGGAGGCGCTCGCCAGAAGGCCAGAGATGAGGGGCGTTGGCCCCGTGCGTGAATGAGGGCAGCGGAGCCAGGAGTTGGCGGGTTGCCTTGGTCGTCTGTTTCTGCCCCCATCTTCCCATCGTGCCTTCGCTGCCTCTGCTGCGCTGACTCCTCTCTTCCGTGTTGTTGTTTTCAGTCCCCCCAACCGTGTTCTGTTCTCCACCATTTGTGTTTTCCCGCGTGCTCGTTTGCCTCCGCTGCGGCTTGTCTCGCCCCCGCGTCCAGTGCAAGGAGTGAGGAGCGAGGAGAAAGCAGGGAAGAGAGAGGCAGGGTTTTGCTTGCAGCTGGGCTCGTAGCACACGCCCGGGTGGCCGAGGGAGGACAGGAGGAGGGGCGGGAGGAGGACGCGGGTCTTGGCGACTACACGTGCGCTTGTCTTAGCATGGTAGTTGATGATGTTGGGCTCCAAGTTTCTTCTTGACGGCTCCTCAGCGCATTCCCATTTCGGAGTTTGCGTTGCAGAACACCGTCGCGCGCCCCGTGCAGGGAGGAGGGGGGGCGTTTGGGCGCGAAATGGTTGGGAGAAGATAAGGAGGAGTAGGAGGGAGAATGGAGGAGTGCAGGCAGTGATGGAGGGACGAGGGGGAGGACCAGCGTACCCGAGACGCATAAACGATGTTGCAATAAACCCTCCTCCAAGTTCCCACATCGTACGTGCCTACAAGAACTACAGCTGTCTAGGAATTCTATCCTCCAT